TGATATGGCGCCCTTTATTGGCCGGACGATATTTTGAACAGGTCCGCAAAACGTCATGGCAATTGCAGCATACTGGTAGCCGATGGGACCCATGGGGTGATTTAGAACCTCTACCCCCTTGTCGGCGGATCCCAGTCGACAACTGCATGAGCAGTGCTGCTCGGGTAAGCCTCAGAGAGACTTTCCTGGAGGGGTCTGGAGATTATAGCGGATAGGGAGAAGTTCTGACGGGGCCTAGCAAGCCCCCAGGAAATGTAATTTGCTCCAAATAGAATTGAAGCAGCCTCGGATGGATGTGCTGGCTCTGCTACCCTCCCAGCACATGATCCACAGGGGGAGCACGATGATGACCAGGCTATTGCACATGGAAACGAATTGGTTGACGGAATAAACTTAGAAATGAGGTGCAATGAAGTGTTTGAGGGAATGGGTTACCCTATAGTGGTATTCCATAGGTTTGCACCGAAAGCATGCCCTCTATGTCTCCTAGGGGGCCGTAACCTCCTATCACTAGGACCGGCAGATAAGAATCGCCACGTTCGGGATTGACACCCCGAACGTGAAGTGACATACCTCTGCGCTTTATGCGGAAGAGAATACAAAGCACGTCACAACTGCCGGTGCCATGTAGCAAAATGTTTTGGTTCGAAACCAGTCGTAGTCGACGGGCAGCGATGCGACATTTGCGACTCGGTTTTCGCGACAGTGGTAGGCCTCTCCCAACACATGCGGCACAGCCATTCTGAAGCCATAAATGAAGCGAAGGCTGCTGGTACCGCACATGGTCGGCCTCCTTGGCGAAGGCATAACCAGATCTTCACCGAGGATGAACTTCGCATGATGCTGGAATGTGGAGTGAGGTACTATGGCGACAAAATGATGGCTTTCACAATGGCGCCCCACATACCAACGAAAACAAATACACAGCTCCGACACAAAAGAGCTGACCAAAAATACATAAAGAGGAGGGACCAATATCTGATTGCCCACAATCTGCCTCCTCGAGCCACGGGGTTCCAAGAAGCACAAAAACTGCCCAAAAGCCCAGCTCATAGGCGGGCGACTCCAGATCTCGGTGCATTACAAGAAGAGGCTGTGGCCCTATTAAAAAATCTGGAGGCCATCTAGCGCGACACCCGAGAGTACATAGGGTGGCGCAGTAAGATCGTTGAGTCGGTCCTTGCACAACAGCTACCCCAGAATTACCAACGAACTCGAACAGTATTAACGGCCCTCGAACATTTAGGTATTGGTTTAAGGCGGACATCGTATTGGGAATACGACGTACCCCAGGGGTTTATCAATACTATGTACTCCTGAGTCCTTACAGTCGGCCAAGACGGTGTACGCCCGAGAAAAGCTGGGACAGAGAGGGGAGCGCGTGGTGGCAGAAGCAGTCGCAGGCGCTACTTATACGCCAAAACGCAATATCTGTACAAGAAAAATCCTTCTCTTGTGGCACGGCACGTTCGCACAAACGTGGACTGGTTGGACACCCCTGGGATCAGGTGTTCAAATGCGGACGTGCAGGACCTGTACAACAACCTTTGGGGTCATGAGCCTGAGATACAGGTCCCAGATCTGGGAAATAGCGACCCACCAAAAGGTTATCACGAGTACTCTTGGAAATAATCCCCGAGGAAATAAAACAAAGATTTTCCCAGATAAGCAGATCCACAGCGGCTGGCCCCGATGATATCCGTCTTATAGACGTGAGAAAGCCAGCCGTTTATGAGGCCCTCCATCGGTTCTTCAACTTGATAATGGTATGTGCACGGATACCTTCCGATTGGAGGAAGAATCACACCACATTGATACCCAAAGAGGGTAAGGACGGTAGTAAGGCGGAGAACTACCGTCCTATAACAATAGCTTCGATCCTAAGTCGAGGGTACTTCGGTATCATCGACAAGAAGCTCAAGAAAGTGGTGGATTTCTTGCCCTGCCAAAAGGTGTTTGTTAATGAGGCGAGGTGCTTCAACAATGTACACCTGCTTAACGAAGTGCTGTGGCACTTCGAAAGCCCACAAGGAAATGGTGGTAACGATACTGGACATGTCTAAGGCGTTCGAAACGGTACCTCATGAGGTACTAAGTCCATCGTTACGGAAAAAGGGTCTTCGACGTATAGTGGAAGACGCACACGCAAACAACTATTGAGTTGATCGATGTACAAGTCGAAGTGCGTCTCAAGCGCGGGATCAAGCAAGATGACTCCATAAGCCCATTTCTATTCAACGCAGCCCTAGAACTCCTGCTGCAAGCGCTGGAAAGTCAACCAGGATATCAGATCAACAAATCTGTAAAAATCTCATGCCTGGCCTTCGCGGATGGTCTCATCCTTTTGGCCCAAGACGAAGGCCAGGCCCAAAAACAACTAAGTGACACGGAAGCATACCTATCGGGGTTAGGTATGAAGCTGTCGCAGCTAAAATTACAAACCTTCCGTGTGAAAACCACTAAAGACTTTTGGCACTTAGTTGATCCCGGTCTGACATTCGATAGTGGTGGAGGGGTGCCGGTGACGGGGGCCGGTGACTACCTTATCAACCTTGGTGTGAAATTCTCTCCTTGGGCTGGAATTACAGCGGTGGGTATTGAAGCCGACCTTGCTCCAGCATTAAATAGAGTGCAAAAGCTAAAGCTGAAACCACACCAATGAGTAGACTCAATCACCACTTACCTAGTCCCACACTACCAGTACAAAATCAATAGTGCTATTCCATCTCTAAATGCGATCGAGCTACGGATGGTGATTAAACGCATTCTCCACTTGCCGAACTGCACGACCAATAGGCTGTTGTATGTCGGCAAGAAAGACGGCGGACTAGGTATCCCGAGGTTAGAGTGGCTCCTAACCTCATCAACCCTAAGAGCTGGGCTAAAGTTTGCGGACAAACAGCGGCCAGAATGAATTGGCCAATTGAGGACCCTAAAGTCCTCAATAACTACGTGAAGAAAGAACGTAGGAAAGAGCTCGTCAGATGGTCCCGGCTACAGTCCCAAGGGAAATCGGTCGCTGCCTTCACCGATTTCAAGATAAGTAACGCATGGCTGAGTGATCACTCACTCCTTAAGCCATGCCGCATAACAGCCCTCCCGATGAGGACTAACTCATGTGCTAATAGGGTTGCTATGAGTAGAGCCACACCAACGCCTGACCTTAACTGTCGGCAATGTGGGTCTCAGCTGGAGACACTGGGTCACATTCTAGGACAGTGCAGGTACACTAAGCCTGTAAGGATTAGGCGGCACGATGAGATTCGCGACCTCATCGTGCAAGAAGTCACAAAGCAAGGCATAGAGGTTGCAGTAACGGTGGAGCCGACAATAGTCGACCCCCGTGGCAGGAATCTCAAACCTGACCTGGTGATACAGTACCAGGGAAGGGTCTTTGTGGTCGACGTCACAGTCCGCCATGAAGATGGTGATGGACTCGTTGCGGGACGCAATAGTAAGATCAACAAATATAGCCAACTGCTTCCTCAATTCCGGCATAGGTTTCATGCGGACCATGGCGAAGTCCTACCAGTTGTGATAGGAACAAGGGGTGCATTGCCCAAGGAGACAATCCGGTGCCTTAGCCAGCTCAAATTGAAAAATAAGGGCCTATTAAAGACGATTTCCATGATAGCCCTAAGAAGCTCCATTGAAATCTATCACGATTTCATGGACTACAATGCACCCCTTCGCCGGCGTAGTCAGCAACCGCCATGAGCTCCGCCTCATGACAATCTCGTGTCCGTAGCTGCCATGTGCCCGCCCCAGGGCCTCACCCCTATTGGTGGGGTCCTTTTTAGCTCTAGGTAGCAATACCTATTTCACTCTTTTGAATATTAATTTATTATTTTAACTTCTATATACATCTGGGTTTTATTCACTATTACCCATCCATCCCTATTGATGGTTGGGTATGTTTTTATCTTTACCCGTTTTAATGAATGACTGTTCGACGTGGCTCGCCAAGCTGTTGAGCCTTTTGGCTTTTTTTATCCTTTGACGACCCGCTGCTCTCCTTCGAGAACAACGGGTCTTCTTTGTGACAGATGTACACAGCTCGTATTTTATCTGTTTTATATATACTTCTTATTATTTATTTTATCCCTTTTGCATTTAATGAGCGAAATGCTTAATTTTTCGTATTCGCACGGCGAACGTGCGGTGAGCGAGAGCGAATGAATGATGTGAGTGAAACAAGTGCGTGCTTGCGTCGCGCCTGGCCGGGACTCTTCCCCCACCACACCGCACCGCATTGCTCGCAAATTACGCTTACACCCGCCGCCCGCGATTAGTGCAATTGTTTTGATTTGTGTTGTGTTGCGTCCGAGATTAAAATAGTAAAATTACGTTTTTCAAGTTATTGTGACCTGTGAAAATAAAACGTTGGTTAAAACCAAATGACTCTACTTTGGACGAAGCAAATGAAAAACCTTCGACTTCAAAGGTTAAACGTCGTAAGTTTTGCGACGAATACTTAGCTTTCGGTTTCACAAGTACCAATTTAAACGGGGAAGACAGACTGTTTAGTTATCGATGGGGTTTAGGCATTAATAACTAGTATCAACGTATAACTCTTAGTTTATTTCAAGACTCTCAACCTGTTGCACCAACAGAGAGAGAGCCCGGTGCCCACGTCCCTATTCTGACAGCCATCTTTCGCCGTGTCTCTGAACCCACCAAAGGTATCACATCGTGAATGATAGAACACAGAGACCTCAGTACGTCATATGCTACGAAGTTTTGTCAAATGAGTCGATGAAACCGGCCAAACTCCGACGTCATTTAGAAACAAAACACCAGGAATATCGTGACAAATCAAAAGCCTTTTTCAAAGTTGAAGCCACGCAATTGGAACAAAGCACAAAAACAATGATAAAGACTGCTACTGGGACCAATAACGAAAGTGTTGTATTAGCGTCCTACCAAGTATCTTTGCTAGTTGCAAAAAGTGGTGAGCCCCACACCTTTGCTGAAGACCTAATTTTACCGTGTGCTAAATCATGGTTTCTGCTATGTTAGGTGACAAAGCTTCAAAAGAATTGGACGTTGTATCGTTATCAAACAACACAGTGAAGAGGAGAATTGATGATTTGTCGGGAAATGTTAAAGAACAGCAGATTTTCTACGTTAAAGCAAGCAGATTTTATGCTTTGCAATTAGATGAGAGCACAGATATTAGCAATGATGCAAACTTGCTTGCATATGTTGGTTACGAACACAACAACAGCATAAGTGAGGATTTTTTATTTTGTTTACCTTTACCTTCGCACACAACAGGTGAAGCAATATTTGAAGTATTGAACAACTTTATGTCCACTCATGAAATTACATGGGACAAGTGTGTGGCAGTTAACACCGACGGTGCTCGGGCTATGACCGGGACACGAATAGGGCTGCAGGCGCGCGTCAAGAAGATGAATCCAGCTATTATCTGGCATCACTGCTGCATTCATAAGGAGGCATTAGCAGCAAAAAAAACATGCCAGGACAATTAAAAACAGTGTTAGACGACATAGTGCAGGTGGTGAATTTTATTAAAGCTGAGCGTTTAAATTCCCGTATTTTCGGTATCATTTGTGAAGAAATGGGAAGCATTCACAAGCAGTTATTATTGTACCCTGAAGTCCGTTGGTTATCTCGTGGCAAAGTTGTGAAGCGTGTTTTTGAGCTGAGAGATGAGATCAGAATGTTCTTTTTGAAGAATTCTGGACATAGCGTCAGCAAATATGCTGATCACTTCAATGACTTTGGATGGCTTACAATGGCAGCATATTTGGCTGATATATTCAGTGCCCTTAACGAGTTGAACTTAAGTCTACAAGGGAGAGATACCAACATCTTCCAAGTCGATGATAGAATTGAAACGATGCTTGACCTTTGGATAAATCGTACAATTCAAAAAAACTATAATCACTTTCCAACACTGTCAGCGTTTTTGGAGTCCTCTGGTGAAGCAATATTGCCAGCACAAGTACAAGATGAAATGGTGACACATCTCCGCACTTTGAGGTCTTCGTTTCGGGATTATTTTCCAGTACCCGACAAAAATAAAAATTGGATATCAGACCCTTTCAACACAGATGTTTCTGATATTACTGGCTTGACAGCGGCACAGGAAAACCAATTAATAGAAATAT